ATAGAGAACTTGACTTTTGACCTGTTTTCACGTTTCTGAGCCCTGGCAAGATACCTTTTCACAATGCTTTACTTTTACAAGGCCCGTGCTGCTCTATTTTTACAAGGCCTGAGGCCTATATCGGGTAAAGGCCCTTTTATTACTCTTATGAATGGGTGCAGGGATTTTCCTCCGTAAGCATGGACGACGAGGGCTTCCTTGGTTGCTCGTCTCATTTTTGCTGCAAAAAAAACGCCCTCCATCGACCAGCAATATCTCTGTTGTGTTTCGCGAAATCCTATACCCAGTTCACCTGCGACCTAGAGCAAAGAACTTCCGGAAACAAGGCACACCTGTCTCCCATCTCCCAACTCTCGGCCATTGGAGTGTTGTAGGACGTCAATGTGTCAACAGACCACCGGCTGCACTCCCCGCCGGTTCAGGTCCAGGTCGATCGGGATATGCCAAGAGAAACGGAAGCCGAAAAGAAAAGCAAACAGGCATGGAGTGCACTTAACGCTGCACGCCGCTTCCCACAGAAATACTTGGCGACAATCTCTTCAAAGTTTGAATCTTTCTGGTGGCCTATGGGTACCAAAATACTATCAATCTCTTCAAAGTTCACATCTCCGTGGTGACATCCGGGCATCCTCCGGGAGCGGACCTCCGAAAAAAGCTGTGACTGCTGCTGGGGTCAGCTGTTCAACAGACAACCTGAAAAATCAGAGGCTCCGTGGGGACCACGCCGGCAGCAGAAAATGAATAGAGTGATAGTATAAACCACCAGTGCCTCTGAGGCTGTTTTCCCAAATGCTGAGGAGCGACAGAAAGTTATGCCCTTCCCCCCAACTCATGTTCATTCAGACTTCTGAAGCAAACTGCCTGAGACAAGACACAGCTATTGTGCTAGTATCAGCGTCCGGAATATCGGACAGTGATCAGCGTGCGCCCACCTGCTTCAGCACGCTGACGTCGTGCAATCCTGTCGAGCGCGAGAAAGACATGGCCTTACCTCCAGCGCACACCTCGGAAACCTGAACCTATAGACAGCATATAGTCCAATCTGTAGACCTCGTCAACACTTGTCAGGCAGACTTCTAGGTCGAGAAGTGGGAGGCAAGGGGAGGAAAGAGACTGCGGGGGGGAAGGGGAGAGGGGGAGGAAAGAGAATGTGGAGGGTGCAGGGCACGCAGGGTAGACGGGTGTCAAATATTGTTATCCTCACCAGTGACAAACACCACTCTTACCTCCAGAACATCAACCAACTTTTCGAGTTGCTTCAGAAGTTTACCGATGGATGCCTCTGTTCCCGGGACAACAGAAGTGAGCCTGGATATGCCTTGGCACTCTGCAGGACCAACTGCCAGACTCTGTAGATGGTACACAACAAGACGAAAAAACACAGACGAATATATAGATTCAATGCTGCATTAACTATACAGATAAGCGACAACTACTTTTTGCAAAGCGCATGGTATAGATATAGTATAGATAATAGATATAGTATAGATATCACGCGCTCACAACAGTAAGACGATTGACTGAAGGACCTGCTCATGAAATAACGAAAGTTACGAAACACAACTTGCCTGTGAAAGCGCATAGCCATCTGAAGCGATCGTTGTCAGAATTCTAACCGTTACTTTTTTGCTTACAAAATCAGCACATATATATATATCGTATTGTGACGATATATATATATATATATATATCGTCAAATAGAACTGCCCTGTAATATATATATATCGTCAAACAGAACTGCCCAGTAAAACGTAGGCAGAGAGGGAGAAGAGGACAACAAACAAGGGGCTGTGACAAACTGTTTCGTCGGAGTTTATATATATAGTCAAACAGAGCTGTCCGGTA